CTGTGAAGTCTGAGGAATGTCAAAGCTGGTTACAGACCCAGGGGAAAATGCTTAGGGACAAAGCAGATGCTGTGAGAAAAACAGAGGCCAGAAAAAAGACTATTTAAAAATACTGCACGCCTGAACAGTAGCAGTGAAGCCAAAATAAAATGTTTTTTTTTAAAAAAAAGGCAGTGCACAGACTGTGGGAAATACAAAGGGGTCATGAGAAATGCAAAAGGCCCAAATGCAGAGCAGTGGGAGCTAGCAACCACAGCTCAGCACCCAGAAGCTCAGCCACAGCAGTGCAGGGACAGCAGGGCTGTCAGAGATACAAGAAACACTAGCAGCTGGGCTGGGGGCAACACATGCCATGCCCCCGTGGGGCTTCGCACACCAAAACAGACTTGGGACCTGCTACTGTTTCCCAGCAGAGCCAGCTACACATGTCTAATGCACAGCACCAGTCTCACTAGAGCTGCTAGCTGAGGTTCGTGCTGTGGTAGTTTCAGAGACAGGTCCAAAGAGAAAGCATTTTTCTCCTCCAGTACAGTATCAAAGGAGAATGGCATCTTACCAATGTAATGGTGGGGGGAAGTAGAGCATAAACAATCTCTGATTGCTAAAAGTCCAGGCGTCTTCAGTGGGGATGCTGATGGCCTTGAAAGCCCCCATAGAATAGCATCACCACCATGGGAGAGAAGGCAGGCCAGGCCAGCATCCGTGCGTCCCTGAGGTGCTGGGGTAGTGCAACAGCCGGGAGCGTGCCCAGGACCAGGAACAGTGCAGTGAGCTCTTGGCATAGCGTTCTCTGTGACCCAGGGTCTTTGTTCCTCCTGTGCTGTTGTAACTCCTGCCTCTGTGCCAATGGCTTCCAGAACGCAGAGGAAAACTCTCGCATCTCAATCACCTTCTTCCGACTCTTCCGCGTGATGCGTCTCGTGAAGCTCCTGAGCCGAGGGGAGGGCATCCGGACTCTGCTTTGGACCTTCATCAAGTCTTTCCAGGTATTCCTTTACTTATCTCTATATATATATATAGAATTCCTAACTCTTTTTCCCTTTTGTTGCCCCTCAAAGAGGGTTTTCCCATAAGTGGAAGTGCCTGAGCACAAAGGATGCTCGTCACTCCTGTGCATAGAAGTGACATATGGCATGAATGAGGCTCGAGTAAACGGGACCCATGGTGGATGACTGCGTGGGTATGAGTTTCATCTTTAAAGCATGAGTAAGTGATGGAGACCTTCCTAAACAGCCTTGATAACTCAGTTCAACTCTATTACAGTCTGTCTGTAACTCCGTCGATCTTTTTTTCCATTTTAGCTGTATTTTGTATCTGTGATTGTATGTGAAATTCACATCGGAGGGGAAGGCCTGGGTCTCAGTTAAATTCCTCTTAGGCCTTATTTTGAGAATTTCCAGTGAGTATTAGAGTTGTGTGGCCCCTGTGCTTCATTCAGGAAGAATTTCATCTTTTCTGCCCTAAACCTTTGGCCTTAGTAACAGTGCCAAGGTATTAAATTGCTGGTGCTTTTGCCCTGGAGACGGCTGCATTTTGGTGGTAGGTGAAGTACCAGAGTAGATAGGGAAATTAGAAGGAAAATAGACTGGATAAGAATTATCACCTCTGTGGGAAACAAATGCCATGAGATAGCTACTCACTAGAAATACTGCTTTCAGACCTGCCAGTAGTGGAGCAATGTATAGAAAAATGGTAGTTAGAGATGAAGCGTGGCATGTTTCTGCTTTTTACACATATTTGACCCAGACTTACTAGGCCAGCACAGCCCTAGGTGTTAGCTGAGGGAGTTCCTGAGGAAGTGTCAGGGAAACACAGCACAGTAATACAAATGGTGGTCTAAACATATGAAAAGATGCAGGACACACCACTGGGCAAAAGCATAAAAGAGTGACTTGCCCAACACAGAGGGGTGCCCAAAACAGCAGTCAGACATCCCCCAGATTCAGGCTTCAAATGGTTGATAGTATTTTTACTGACTCAAACGGTAAAGGAACTGATCTGAACTTTAAAACTTAAACTTCACCAGCTACAGCACAAGCTGGCACCAAAGCCTGCTGTGCTGTAGATCACCATGACTTCTGTCTCTGTCAGCAAGAATGGCACATGTTTACACCAGGGATCACGTTTGGACTCTTTCCAGTGCAGCTCTCAGATCTTCTCGGTGGCTGTATCTCAGGGCTCATGTGAAGGACTCTCACTTTTCCCACTCCTTGACTACCAAAGCAGTAAGGATTGCCCAGTGGTTTCCTGACACATCTACACCATGTGCAACTTTTTCCATTGCTTACATGGTTGCTAACTTTCAGGTAGTTATTTAAGCAGCTCCAGTGGGAACCATTTTGGCAGAGTCCCTAGGAATGAGATGCACTTGGCAAAGCTCAGCCAGCCCTGATGTAGGGGCAGAGTCACACTTCCCAGCTCCTTTGTCCCCTGCCCTTGCCCCTGGTTCCTCCAGTCTTGTCCCCGCTTTTGGCTGGAGAGGATGAGATGGATGGGAAAGGGTGTGCCTGCTGCTTCCCTCCAGTGACCTTCAGACCTCTTTGATTGGAAAGTCTCTCTTAGGCAGGGCTAAAGGGTGATGGGAGAAAGTATCAAGGGAGGTATCTTCCACAAAAGAGAGAAAAAAAGCACAGTGAGCAAGTGTCTTTTCCCTTGAAAGCCTTTTAGCTGCTTATAACATGGTATTCTCTGCTGAGAGCTCCTCCTCTTGCAACTACTGCTAGGTTACTTTCACAGCTAAAAATAGCCACAGTGCAGAGCTCTTAACTGAGCCATTCCCACTGTCAAAATCTGGGATCTCTGTGGACTTTTCTGTCTGGCACAGGGTTTTCTCTGTGTCCCTACATGCTTCCAGGAAGTGTATTTCCTCTTACAGGACAGCTTAATAAGCAATGAACTTGTGCAGGAGTTCAGATACCATCGCAACTACCAAGTGTCCTGTGCATGACGCGCAATCCATACAACTTGGGGCACTGATCAGAGGAGTGTGTGGTGGGAAAAATGCTCAGCGGGGTTTCCGCCTGGAGAGTCAGCGACAGAGACCAGACTGGCGAGTGGGAGGAGTAGGAAGTGAGAGGGGTGCTGAGAGCAAGGCAAGGCCGTGGGAATGAAAAGGACAAGTGGTAAAACCAGGGAAAGACAGAGCTGGAGGAGGACAGAGCCAGAAGAGCAGAGTATGGGAGATGGTGAGCTGAAGGAAGCATGAGGAGTAAGGGGCAGAGGTGAATAAGAAGGTACATCAGTGGAGAGGAGTGGGCTGAGTGGAAAAAAGTGGCAGGAAAGTAGAGGGCCAGGAGGGATGGCAATCTTCCAAGCCCTGTGCAAAAGCTGGACAAACCCTGAAGGTTATGCCCTTTAGGTTCTGTCTGGACACTATCCCAGGAGCTCTTCTGAAGTCCTGTGTGACTCAAGTCCGGAGTGCATTGTCACAAAATGTGTGGGGCCAAACTCTGAGCTGGTGTGTCTCCATGGACATTGTAGGGTAACCACACAGATTTGTCTGATCCCGTAAAACACAGAGGAATCTCTCTCTGAGTCTTGAGATGCTGATTGCAGGCATTGTTGAAAGGTTTAAATTTGGGGCATTTTAATATTCAGATTTCTTTGAGATGATTTCTACAGGTCTTAGTCAAATCCTCATGATGGTCAGTGAAAATTGTTCTTGAATTCTTCCTGTAAGATTTGACCTTATTGAAATTTAACATAAACTTGAAATATGTAAATAATCTCATATAAAACTAAAATCCAATGTTGTGGGCATTCGATACTTCATGAGGAAGGGTGTTCAAAAACAGATCAGAGAGAGTGCTCACATTTTCAGGATGAATATGTTCACGGATTACCTCTGACGTAAGGTCTGAAAATTTCTGGTCAGAGCACAATATATTTCAAAAGCAACAGAGTAGAAAATTCCTTCTGGAAAGCCCAAGCTTGCGAGGTCCAGAGTTGTGCCCTTCATTCCTGTCAGTGGCGGAGGAAACTGATAACACTCAACACTTTGCTGATTGCACTGGCCTCTTCCTTACGAGCCAGCGCTGCATATCAGGGCTCTGCATTTCCTCTTCAGCAGCTGATCACAGACACCTAGTGCATTGCAGACATCATCACAAGCATCTAATGCTGAACAGGGAACAAAGCTTGTGCTGCTGCAGTTACTTAGAATGGTACCAGCCATTGTAGGAGAAGCCTTGAACTTGTATCTTGACAGCTGTTGCATTTTTCATTCCACCAGACTGGATCCAGAAAAAATCACAGGCAAGTCATTGCTATTAGTCAGAGTAATACTGGTTACAGTACTTTTCTACTGTTAGTAAAGAGTTGTGGATACTGCCTGTGCCATCACTTTCCCCGCTGTGTCATGGGCAGGATTGATTTGAAGGAGGCAGAGCCACACCACCACGAGTGGGAGCAGAGTCAGATCCTTGCTGGGCTGGGTGGCACCAGGGTGGTTGGGAGGAAGGCGAGCAAATGTGGGCCTGTAGAGGCATCTAGTGGCCACCTGGCAAAATTGCAGACTCCAAGTTTTAGGGCTGACTCAGCCCACTTTGCCAAAGCCAGGAGTGTATGCGAGGCTCCAGTGTGCCAAGCTCAGTGGAAACACAGTGCTCTTTCTCTCTCTCTTTTTTTTTCTTTTTTTCATTTCTAGGCTCTCCCCTATGTGGCTCTTTTAATAGTGATGTTGTTCTTCATCTATGCCGTGATCGGGATGCAGGTAAGTGATACTAAGGAGCTCAATTGTCTCTAACAGGGGAAGAAAGAGTTTTGGGGACTGACCTGTAAAGTCACCAGATCAGTGTGTGGTGGTAAGGACCTACTATAATGTTTTCTCCTGGTAATGTAACAAGGCAGCTAACCTTGACTGGAAAACTTGTCAGCGTATGGGCTTCGAACAGGAACACAATACACACCAGCAAAACCAAAATAAACCCCATTTAATAGCAGAACACAGTAACACAGTAAAAGCAATGGGAGATGCTTATGCCAGCCCTCCACACTTCCAAAGGAATACCCAGCAACTGTAGCAAAGGTGATTTACTGGCTGGCTCATTGGCTCAAAGTAGTTGTTTCAGTGGGCTCACGGCCGTGCTGTACTGAACAAACCCCATTTTTCTCTCACATCCCTTTTGCACTGGTGTAATTCCACAGAGTTGTAAAGAGCAGCTTTTGATTTACACCCATGAAAGCAAATATGGGATCAGACCCAATGTACCGAATCTATGTTTGTGCCAATTCTTCAGGAAGCTGCATCAATACAATATCCTATTCAGTTCGCAAAAATGAACTTGGAGGCAGCCTGAGCATTCATCTGTGCAAGGAACTGATGTCGCATACAGACCACTGAAGAAAGCATGTGATGTAGGCACAGTTTATGACAGTCCCAGCCTCATTTACTGTGCTGCTTTTCAAACTAAGCTTCACTTTCCACTTCTGTGTTAATCAAAGATCTCAGAGAAGTCAGCCATCTGGGACCAGAGACCAAACTATAGAAAGGCACAACATAATTACTTCCAGAAGTCTTTAAACGTGACAAGCTTCTCAGTTTTACAATGCAGACAGAATTTGTAACAAAATTCGTTTGACCTCTGTGACCATTTTTTGTTTCCTATTGCTATAATCACATCTTTTCACAGGCTCCCATTTACTTTTCCCCAGTTTGAAATATAAAATTAATCATTTCTTGAATTATCATAGGTTATCTCATTTGGCCCCGGTGACTGCAGCTGTCATTTAATCTACCAGACTCACACTTTAAACTTGCCAATTTTGCCTTTAATACCTAACTAACTCAAATGGCCAAGATCTTGACAGGATTACCTGTGCTGTATAGAAAATCACTTGAGAGTACTATGCTGGTGTTATGTAGCTACAGAAAGCATTAAAGATGGCTTCCAAGCACCCACCCAGCTTGGGTCTCTAATGATCCTATCACTACCAAGGCTAGATATATGATTCTGTAATTCTATTCCCTTTTCTGTGAACTAAGTTCTAAGTTGGCTATTTAATCCTGGGTTTAAATTTAAGCCTCTTTTTTAACCATTCAGCAGCCTGAAGGTCATATATCTCTCAATCACATTGAACTAGATCACGTACTAGTTTGCTAGATCACCTTCTAACATCCTTTGACAAAAACAGGTCTTCTCAATCTTCCCTCACTGCTTAGAGACTGCGGACCTGTTATCATCACTTTTTGTCCTCATGGCATTTCAGACATTTGGTGTGCTGCTCTCTTGAACCTACTGACACAGAGAGTTCCCTCACACATAGGGACACATAGAAAGGAAACTCCTTTACCATGTAAGAGACACCTACCACTTTATCTCAGCTGCTCCCCTGTCATGGAGTGTAACAACATTCAAGCCTTGCTACCTAATGTGCCGAAGTGCACAAATACAAATTGATGCTGATAGAGGAAGCTACTAATATAATGGCCCACGAGGTGCAGATCGAAGAGGTTGAGAGAGAGGAACGTCTACCTGCAGCTCTTCGCGGCTGGCTAATGCAAAACGCCTGGGGTAGCTGTTGCCAGTGCATCATGTGTGAGAGAAGCTGCAAGGTCAGAAGGAAAATCACAGATTTCCAGCATGGCAAATTCCCTTGCCTACACTTGCCTGAAATGAAAAACATGGGCTGCCTTAGCTCAAGCTGCCTCTGAGCATTTAAACTGTCTTCCTGCTCCTCCTTAATGCAGCTGGGGCTGTCAGTACTACCCACAGCGGGGCTGGAGAAGGCCTGTATGTCCAAGAGCAACCCCTGCAGAAAGTCTTTGATGTGCAGACACTCCCTCCTGCCCATCTGGAATGGCCTCCCCATCATTGTCCCTGTGCTTCACTCCACATCGCTATTTGTCTTGAGGTGTTAATTACTGGTGACATTTGCTTGAAAAGAAGCTCCGTCTTCTCTCAGAGCTGCTCTGTTCCTGCTGCTCATTTTGGCTACGAGATTACAGCTGTCAGTCCTTGAGATCTTTGTCACGTTGCTATCGATGGGGAATAAATAGTCCTGACTGATTATGTTGTGCAGAGACCTCTCTGCCAGGCAAGGCCTGTTAAGGTCTTAGTCCCAATGCCATAAATTCAAAAGCCATGTAAGACTTTTTCAAAGATGCCTGAAACTCTCCTGCACGGGAGACTTTACATCTCAGAGCAGGCTCCCAAAAGGCGTGCTCATCGTTGTAGGCTTTGTCCAGTGACTGGGTGAACTGTACTTGGTACAGCAATGGTTGGCTGGGCATGGAAGGAAGCTGTGAACCATCTTTATGGATTTAAGGAAAGGGCTGTTAGATCAGCGTTGTAACTTGGAATAGCCAAGGGATGGGGCACATATAACCCCAAGTAGGTTGAAATAGCTTTGTGCTGAGAATTGCCCAGATGCACAACTGTTGAAGTGAAGAAAAAAGCAGAGTTTGTCTTATACAGTGCCCTAAACTGTTACCATCACTTTGTACCTAAGACCAAATTCCCTGAGGCCCCATAATTCTTAAATTGTCTTCTCTGCAAAAGCATTGCATCTGCGGAGCACCTCAAAACAACACACAAGCTGCCTGCTTCACTTCCACAGGGCAGACACACTGCTTTCAGTTGTATTACGAGGCTTTTAAGATAGGTCTTCTCCCTCAGATGCCTTTCCTCTTTACATCACTAATCTTTGTCCCCTGATTGCATCTCTTTTGTTATTTTCTTGAATTGCTCCATTCCCTTTTTCCTGGGGCAAATCTAGTCATCATCTTGCACTGCAGCATTCTGGGGGGCTTTAAAACACCTGCTGGTGACAAGCACGGTTACTGGAGGTGCAGACATTTGGATGATCTCCAGATCCAAGGCAATGCACTTTAAATTGTTTTTGGAAGAAACAAGGCATCCCACAGAGTTGGAAGCTCAAGGCTTTGCAGTTGATGGTCTTTTGCTATCACTTCCTCCTGGTGAAGACAGATAAGCAATGAGGGAAGGAGCCTTTTCTTCTGTGTTACTAACTTTTTTCAGCTGGGCCCCCTCCATATTTGAGTGCCTGTTAAAATAAGACCCCATATCATCTATTCACAGTGTATGAAATAAGGAAGGATGTGTTGTTTAAACAAGAGATGCTTCTTGTTACAGTGTGAGTGCTTTTCTGATGATAAAGCACAAGCAAGGGAACCAACAGCAAATGAAAGACCACTGGAAATGTTTTGTAAGAGATGAGCAGATCCCGTTAACTATCAGATCCCCTGAGTCAGAGTGAAATGAAGAGCTACAGGTGACAAGAGTTTTGGGATTTTTGCAAGGCTAACCTGAAAAGACCTCTGCTTTCTGCTAGGTGTTTGGTAAAATTGCGCTGAACGATACCACAGAAATCAACCGCAACAACAACTTCCAGACCTTCCCCCAAGCAGTGCTGCTGCTTTTCAGGTGGGTGTCTGACAGTTCTGGATAGTGTCAGTCTGGGAGCGCAATTCCTGTGCTCTAGGAGACAGCTTATCTGCTTCTACTGTGTCATGGTCACAAGGTGAGTAGAAACATGTTGTACCTTAGTAGGGGAGCCTAGGAGTTACGTCAGGTGAAACAACTGGTTTGTTAACCCTCACATCTGCCAGCTGACACAGGCCAACAGCCAGTGTCTGGGCAGGGAGGCAAGTCCTCCTACTGAAAAGGAAGGTGGCCAGTCGTTCAGCTCTCTCAAATGTTGATATTCATCATTAAGTCCTTCTTGCTTTTAAATTCAGCCAATATGACTTCCTGCTTATAGTAGCAGGGAAAGGGACATGAACTCTGCATGTACCTTGGCATGGCCATGCCTAGCTCAGCTTAGCCTACTGTCATGCTTCAGGTGTGCCAGGACTGCAGGGAAGGCTACTGAAGAGAGGAGAAACAAGGATTGGGAGTTGGCAGGAATTCAGCACTCTCCACTTGCTTACAAGGAGGAGGAGCAGGGGAAAGGAGGGTGACTAAGAGAAACTAGGTCTCCCCCTCCATCTAGCATCATGTAATCCATAGCTGTGTCACGCAATTCGCCATGACTCTGGTGGGCTGGAGTGCAACAGCTTCATATCCAGACTAGACAGAGTAAGTCAGGAACAACACATTGACAATGGCAACAAAGCCAGAGAGAGTAGTGGGATACGCCAATGTATGTCAAAGCCAGGCCATCCCTCTTCGCTGATGGGCCTAACTTGCTCTTAATTGACCTCAGTGGCAAAATTGCCGTTCACATTCGTGGGAGCAGGAGCAGCTTGCTAATATGCCAGTCCCTCCTCTCTCAAATCAAAGGTGACTGTTGACTTGCCTTGCCCTTTGCTGTGCCCAGGTGTGCCACTGGTGAGGCCTGGCAGGAAATCATGCTGGCGTGTCTCCCAGACAAAAAGTGTGATCCAGAGTCGGAACCGGCCAACTCCACGGAAGCTGATCACTCCTGCGGGAGCAGCTTCGCTGTCTTCTATTTCATCAGCTTCTACATGCTCTGTGCCTTCCTGGTGAGTCTGTACTGGCAACCAAAACGTGCCTGCGTCAGCCTGAGCCGCGGCCTTCCCAGGCCTCAGTGCTGCACAGCAGAAAAGTGATCTCAAAGATAGGAAATCTCCCTGCCAGGTCTTTCCCATGACAGCACTCCCTTGATCACTGCAATTCCTGCCTCTCTTTAGAGCTCTGGGGGATGCTCTGCTTCCAGTCTTAATCCTTTATGCACAGCAAAGGAATGGGTTTTTTCCCCCCCTCCCCCTCAATGAGAAAACAAAATTAGCGTGTTGTAGGCTGTGCTGAGGCTAGCAATGCCTTAGCCACACTTCCCACCTTCCCTCCTACCTTCCTTCTGCCTGCAGAGCAGGTTTTTCCTCCCCTGCCAGCAGCAATGACTGTGAGAATACACATATCCCACTTGCATCTGCTCGGTGTTGGCAATGCGGCATTGCTCAGAGCTTAAGCACACGCTCTGCAGCTGGCGTCAGCGCGCAAAACTCTCCCAGTGAACAGCAGCAACATTTTAAAAGGCTTGGTGTTGGGCCAGGAGAAAGGACTTTTCTCTGAGCCCCACTGCTTTTGGAGGATAAATCCCAGGTTCCCCCACCACTATCACATTCTTCTGGGAAAAGACATGGGTAAATAAAATGCCATCACAGCATTTCTAAAATGTTGGCAAACTTGAGCCACATCCATTCAGTTGGGAGGAGAAAGATACGATCAACTGAGACCATCCTCCCTCTAGGATCTTCTCATTGAAACTGGGGAGCTGACATGGGGGAACAGAGAAATCCCCCTGACAAATGGCTTCCAGTTTTGTGAGTAAAAGTCCAAACCTTGAACTGGAAACCTGGTGAAGTCTGCTGTTACCTGTCTCATCCACCAAGTCATCTCTGTCCTTGTTTGCAGATCATCAATCTTTTTGTAGCTGTTATAATGGATAACTTCGATTATTTGACACGGGACTGGTCCATTTTAGGACCACACCACCTGGATGAGTTTAAAAGGATCTGGGCAGAGTATGACCCTGAAGCCAAGTAAGTAACCCACCCAGAATATCAGCCCTCCTCAGGAGAACAGGCCTGTTATTTTCTAGCCTCTAGACCCACTGCAGTCAGTGCCGTGTTCCTGCTGCAAGAGCACTTTCTCTCTGCGAAGGTCCTAAAATGGATACCTCCACAAGGTATTGCTGGTGAATCCAGTGGACAACAGAGCTAGGATATGTGCAGGCTGCATTGTCAGCTGACAGGACATTGTTTCACCTTCAGTCCAGGGTGGGGGTGGGGAGGATGGACACAGGTTGTTTAGGGAGGGGACAGTAGGAAATTCAGAGGAGGTTAGAGGGTGGTTTTACTGTGGCATGTGTTGGGGAGGTATTGAATCCAAGCTGTAAATCTTCTTTTTGACTTTCTGCTCACAGCAGAGCTGCTGTGCTCAAGTCTCCATTTTGTAATATGTCATATGGGCCCATCACAGCCTGTACCTTCACATAACGGCATTACATGATCTGCAGGGTTATTCACATCAGCAGACTTGGAGGGATTTAGAGTTACACAAGAATAACTCGCACAAGAGCTTAACTGACATCTGTTAGTACATGCTCTCTTTGATGCATGCTGAGGCTTAAAGTACATTTACATCCCTGTGGCATTATAGGATAATTGGCAATTGCAATTATAAAGCCCCCTTAACAATGCAAAAACTGTGGAAAGAGATCTTAGCATAAAGTAAAAACAGATCTCTTTGGTTCTGGATCTGTAGACACAGTGTCAAGATTAATTTGGGCTCGGGCTCTGCAGGATGTGAGGCTATGTCACATTATCAGAGTGATATTTAAATGCGAACCTTTCTTCCCATCTAGAGTGACTGTCCAGAAAAATTTTCAATAAGGTATAGAAGATACCTTACTGAAATCTTGCACCTTATAGGATTTATCTTAATAAATACATTATTTACTAACAAAACACACGCTCGTTTGAAGACAAAGACTACAGTGGCTGGAGCCGTATAATAGACAGCCCCTCACTCCAGACAACATCTTGTTCCTTCCCATCCATAAATGTGCATTTTTTTTCCTCTTCCTGGTGAATGTCCCATGTCTGAGGCTCCAGCTCTGGCTCTGGCAGCTCTCCTCCCTCCATGAGAGAATTTTCCTTTCGGGAAGCCATTTACAAAACTTGAAAGAAATCAAACTGCTGCTCTTTAGGTGTGTTTATGGAAGCAGTTCAGGACTTCATTTCACACTGGCTCCAATGACAGCCAGAAGCATAAACAAGAATCAAAAGATAGTCGCTCTGGGCTATTTCTCTGGGAGGTAAAGCGCCAGGAAATAAAGAAACCCTCTGCACCTCTGTTAAGTGTTAAAGCCCTAAGGCCAACAGGTGCACAAGCAGCCACGGATTTAGAACAGGTCAGTGGTGGGAAAACAACCCCGAAGTGTCAGTTTGTGCACGTTGGATCTGCAGCATTCAAAACATTAAAGTCAGTTCTTGCAGGTACTGACTTGTCTTTGACTGACCACTGTGTTTTCTGTACTAGTAGGAGTTATGTGAGTGTTAGGCAAATCCCGAGGAATGCACTGAGTACAAGAGGCCCGAAACACTACCACAGGCGATGTCTAGGTTACAGGGAGTGGCAGTGTGGGTCTGGAAAGATCTCAGTGAGACTTCTGGCTGCATCTGCACTCTGCAGACAAATCAGCAGGTCGCCCTGTGTTAAGGATGTGACCCTCATCTTGCTTTTTTCCTTAGGGGACGGATCAAGCACTTGGATGTGGTGACACTGCTCCGGCGGATTCAGCCACCCCTGGGCTTTGGGAAGCTCTGTCCTCATCGAGTGGCTTGCAAAGTAAGGCACTTCGGGGAAGGCTGGGCGTCAGAAGCAGCAAAATACCAAGCGGGGACATTTTATTACTAATGCAGAGTGTAAGATCCAGGCAATCCTGGTGCACATCCTCTGTGCTTCCCTGCTAGCCGCTATGCAGGCTGCCGCTTAGCGCACACAACAGACCCCGTGCAAGGCAAGGCCCAGCAGCCCCAAAAGTGTGAGGCACCATCCACAGTCACATAGGACTGGTCCTTTGGGGAACTGAGCTGGGGCAGGAACAGTCATGCATGAGGCGGTGCGTGCTGCCCCAGCGTGGGAAAACTGGGAATAGCATGTGTTTGAACCCAGCCTGTCTCCACTCTGCGCTGCTCCCCTGCTCCTTTGGGCTGGTAGTAACCTGGTGGAGGGCTCTCAACTCTGAGACAGGCCGATGTTCTTCTAGTGAGAGACATTAATGCCCTGTTAGCTATATCAGCCCTATCTCTAGCTAGGAGGATGTTCAAGCATTGTATCAACCACACATGTGTTTGTGGTATCAAACGCACATACCAAAAAGCCAGATTGGGACAGATAACGGGGCAAGTGAAAAGATCTCCAAGATTTTCTTTATACCAAGTAATCCACCAGAAACCTAATAAATAGGTTTTTTCCTAAAAAACTGACAGAAACTGAACCCCAAGGTGAACAAAGTATTAATATAAAGAAAGAGCAAGGACAGATTTTCAGTGAAAACGTCTTATTAATCTCTCTGGTTGTGAGACCCTAGCTATCAAAAAGAACAATCTCTAGTGAATGACATGTTTCTAACCTTTGTGCTTCCTTCCATTGAACGTCCTCATTCATCACCCCACAAGTCTCAGAGTTCATATTTGACTTTTGTAGATGGTTTATATCAATCTCAGAGCAATACACAAACGCTGAGGCCTCTACACAGAAATACATGACTTCTGCGGCCTGCTGCCTATCCATTTCAGTCTGCTATCTTCCATCTCTTGTGTCAGTCTGAAGAACCTGGTTCAAGCCCCACACTCTGTGAAAGCAGTGGTGGTGACAGGGAACAATGACCCCCAATTTGGTACTAAACCAGGCCCACTGCATGAAAGTGGTAGCAGACAGAGCTCTAACCAAATCAACCCCTTAAAGCAGAAACCAAGGGCCTGGTGCCTCTTACCTCCTGGATATAAGATCTGGTGACTTTACTACATATTACCTCAGACAGATGTTATTGGTCTCACAGAAGTTTCCCCTGCAGCTGCACCAGTCCTTGGCCCACACTCTCTGTCCTACATGGCTTTACAAAATGACTGCAGGGCAGACGCAGCCCTGCTGTAAAAGGAAGAGGGGCTGGAGAAAGCAGCAGAAACTTTCAGGCTCAGCTAGCCCACTTGTTCAAGTCTGTCAGCTGTTTCAGTGAAAGATACTGGTTCTCTATTTAAATACTTTTGCACTAGACATAGCATGCCCCATGAGACATAAAGAAATCAATTTGCTTCTGTTAAGAATGAAAGGTATCATTTAAAACCAAATGGTTTGGGAACTGGAATAAACTTCTGTCTGTAAAATGCATGGTGGGCAAATGCCCCCTGGCCACTGGGGAAATGAGGACTAGAAAGTGATACCCATATTGGAAATGAAGTATCTAGCAATGGGAGAGAGACCCCAGGGCAAACTCATGCCATGGTTAGGACAAGTGGTGGATGTGACAAGTCCTTTTATAATTGTTTAATCAAACCCACAGGCCATGGATGCACAGGTGAGAGGGATGGCAGGTCTGGAGGGCATTGTGAGGGCAAAGAAAGAGCATTTTCCAGTCCACGGGTAGGCAGTATGATTGTTCTGTTTCTCCTCCTTACTCTGCAGCGCCTTGTCTCCATGAACATGCCACTGAATAGTGATGGGACTGTAATGTTCAATGCTACTCTCTTTGCGTTGGTCAGAACAGCACTGAGGATCAAGACAGAAGGTAATAATCTTGCTGACTGCAAGGGTACCTGAATGATGTCCATGCCAACATGTGCTGAGCTGGAGTGCAGTATAAGGACATCTTGTGTAAAAGTCTTCCAGTTACTCATATGCAGCATATAGTACAAAAAGCAAAGTAAATATATTTGGAAGAATAACGTCTTCTAGGGAGAGAACAGTGTTTCTAGCTGAGTGTTACATAGAAAGCTGTGCTTCCCATGGTATCATAACAGATTACCAATCATGTTCTTTATGATCGTCTGGAATTTAAACGTTTCAGACCTACTGTCCAGTCAAATCCGAGGAAGGAAGAGGGAGAGAGAAGCTTCCCCTTGTGTAAACTGACTGCAGAGCTGGGCAGCTTTTTAACAGCTGTCACCATGGATCTGCCAGTCCATGGGAGGCAGCAGAGCATAGACCAGAGGGTCTCACCTCACTGAAATTCCTCCTACGCTTCCACTAGTGGATGTTAACATCACGTTTTAGTGACAGTGGTGTTGTAGGTCTAAGGACATATGGGAAGCCAAGGGCATAGGGACTGTTAGTGTCTTTTCATAGACCAGAGGATAAAGTTGGGGAAAGCAGACAAGCTTTTGGGCTCAGCTTGTCAGCACTGTTAACTCTGCACATTACCTGCTCTAGTGAAAGATACTGGCCCTGAATCTAAACCTGGCTTCATGTATTAATAACATATTTTAAAGAGTGTGTAGAGCTGTGATTCACAGCTAAACACCTCTGCCTCAGGAGTGGCTACGTTACATTTTAGGCATGGGAAAGTGGACCAGCAGAAGCATAGCTTACCATGCCAGAATAATACTGACAGCAGAGCAAAAAAAGGTGGTAAAATTAAAAATTGTATTAAGGCATTGGATGTTGTGCTAAACAGAATTTGACTGCAGCAAAAGTGGCTCTCCTGAGGAAAAAGCCAACCTCAACCCCTGCAGAACATCTTGGATCTTAGATAAAACAGAGGCCCAAAAGGGACTTGATCTTCTCTTCTGCCTTAGCCTCAAACTGTGAATGATTGCCAGTGAACTCCTGTGAAACCATCTGAAGTCTCAAACTGCTTCCCTTCTTGCCTTAGGAGCATCTTATAAGTAGTTAGGGCAGAAGTTTGGAATCAGCCCTCCTGAGTCAAAGTTCTGACTTTGATGCTGTCCGGCTGTTTCATGCTCAGCAATTTACTTAGTCTCCCCATTTTTGCTTCATTGTTTTAAGAGAGCCGCTGGCATGCAGAGCCCTGTGCAGCACGCTGAGGAGCCTTAATGTTTGGGTGCTATAAGAAAAGCAGGAACAGCACATTTGGGAGGAGATGACTGGTTTAGTATACCTAGAGAGAGAAGAGCGCTTCAAGCATAAAGGGTTTTAATGTACATAAATCAGGAAATTAAAATGAAGATGAGCAGCTTGGGAGGAAAAGGATACCTAGAAGGAAAGGATATCAACTGAATCTGCTCCACTCTCAGGGGAGTGGTGTGGCTGGATTAATGTCTCATCAGCTCAGAGCCTCTGAAGAGAACAAGTAATATCTAAGTTCAGACAGTAACATAAAGGCTTGTTACCTCCTATACTGTTCCTCAGAGAATAAACAAGAATATCCGAAGGCTGTCCTGTGAGTTAGATAGTGAAGGCCTTGCACATTCCTTGAGTGCCTTCTCAGAGCACTGCGCAGGCTCTCTCCAAGGCAGACCCTTGGCACTATGTGAAGAAGGTGGCATATGCTGGGATACAGGGAATGCAGCAAGTAACTCTTGGGAAGGGCTGAAAGCAGACCCAGGTCTTCAGAGTTCTAGCTGCCTCTTTACCACCAATTATTTGTCTTCCATGGACAGTGGTTTCCCAGTAATGGACTTTTACTCTCATCGTATTTAACCTTCACTGGATCTCAACTAAAATTTGGAGCTGTTGAATGAGAACTCGGCTGTCTAGGACAAAGTAGCACTGCCGTTTTGTTGTTTCTGGCTGCTGGAGGCAAACACTCAGTAACACAGTATCAGCAAATACATACCATTCACCTTCCTACCCTTAGATGACTAGGCATACCTAGGAGGAAAACAAGGAGACCTCTTGCTGTGAGGAGGCTTTAGCAATGGTCAGAGCTATTTCTGCCCAAAACCTTCCGCTGCTGGAAAAGCTCTACTGATTCCCTTCTCAGATTGCTGTGCCAGTTGTGTGAAATTGTTCCTCTGCAGAGCCTGGCTTAATTCTGTCTCTGATGATTTTCACCCTACAGGTAACTTGGAGCAAGCTAATGAAGAGCTGAGAGCAATAATTAAGAAAATCTGGAAGCGTACCAGTATGAAACTGCTGGACCAGGTGGTGCCCCCTGCAGGTGGTGAGTGCAGGATCCCCTCCTGGTCTGTGAAATCTCTCTGTCCTTTCTTCTACCTGACATATCCTACTGCACCTTGTGATCATCAGGTGGAATACAGGGTACATGCTTTCCTCTTCAAGCTGAAACGTGTTTACATCACTGGATAGTTCATCAGGTTGAGAACTGTTTCTGCCGGTAATGAAGAGAATATAATGCTCTTACTGCTGAGAGATCAGGGAAGGAAGGAAGTCTCTAAATAGGAGTTAGAAACCTTCATTCCTAGATCTTACCCCAGTCATCGGCGCTTGCTCCCCTAGCTATTGCCCAGTAGCTGCTGTGGGCAAAGGAAGCAGGCAGAGCTGAGTAGCTCCAGAGAGGATGTGGACTTAGTGTATATTAGTGTATTAGCAATTGGCCTTTCACTCAAGTTAAGCGTGCAGCCCTTCTCGTTAAACCCCTTGTATTTAGCAGAACTACCTTTTCTATGGCATAACTACTTTCCACAATGATACCTGTCAAAGACTTCTGGACCTCGGGCCAATCCTCAGCCAGTAGGAGTTGGTATAACTGACTAGATTCCTGTGCAGCACTCCTCATGGGTCATAATCACGAGGCCTCTAGGCTCTTCCTTCTCTAGCCTTCTTGGGAGCCAGGATGTATGGGTATGCAGTGTGACCTTCACTGACCTTCCAGGGGGCTCCCGGGGCTGTAGCACAAAACAGCTCTTGGCAGATACTTGATTGTTGGTAGTCAAATCTTGAAGCCTTGCTCAGTCCACTCTTAAGTCAGTGGACACCATATCTTATAAAATTTTCAGTGGGTGAGGGGTCTAGAGAAGGGAGGAGAGTTACCTGGATAAAAACGAAGTGCACATTTTGGCTCATTGAGAGTTTGTGTTGAGTGAGAGGACAGCAATGATTCCATTCCTGGGGGTGGAGGGTGACCGTTTTGGTCCTATCGCACCCGTGCTAGACCCAACAGAGTTTCAGTACTGAGAAGGGTTAGATCATGTCTGGGACAGATGGTTGTCACCTGCCATTAGTGAGCCCAAACTCTGAATACACATTTACTCCAGGCTGTCATGAGACAAAGGAGCATGTGTCAACCCAGACTGGGAAGCTGCTGCTATAGCAAGATCCTATATGGTAAACCAGTACTAGAGACTGCAAAGATTAGAAGGCCCTTCATCATAACCAAGGTGCATCCACAGGTGCATAACCATAGTGTTCTCTATCAGCAGAGGTAGTTTATCCAAGTGCCATTGGCCCCTCTCCTCCTGCGTACTCACAGTAGGCTGTGGGTGTGGAATAATCACTTCCTTCAGCCCCACATACTGTTACCATGAAAAGCAAAGAAGTACTGATATGTCTAATGTTTCTGCTTTGAATTGCAGGTCTCACATTAGCAAATTCATTGTTTAAAATCAGTTGCTTATTTTGTTTTTGTCGGACATACCCCTTTTCAGATGATGAGGTGACTGTTGGGAAGTTCTACGCCACTTTCCTAATCCAGGAGTATTTCCGGAAGTTCAAGAAACGTAAAGAACAGGGCCTGGTGGGCAAGCCCTCCCAGCGCAACGCTCTCTCCTTGCAGGTGAAAAATGGGCCGGGGATGGGCAGGGGTGGTACAGCTGAGGCATTTGATTCTGCTTCCCTCTCAGCCATTCTAGGATCTACAGTGGGCTATCCCCACTGGAAAGGAACTTGTAGGCACCTGCAATTGAATCTCTTTGAATAAGCAATTATCTCCCATAGGCCATATCCCTTAGCTCTGGAGGTGAAATGCAGAAGTGATTTATGTCTGTGATATCTGATCTATCAATCAGCTGATAATGTTTGAAACTTGGGTTCCGTTTGGAAAGCTGGTAGGAAATGTCTGGCAGACATTTATTTCCGCATTCATGATACCCCTTCTGAGGGGAGCCACTGTAACTGGTGAGGGAAAGTATGTTGCCAAGAGGCTAAATCAGTTAAAAAGCAAGAAGGATACATGGATGCCAAGGCATCACAGTCCAATGGACAGGACATCAGACTCTCATACCTGGGAGCTATTCACCACTCTGCTATGGGTTTGCTGACTGGACTGCTAGGCTGTACGGAAGAAAAAGTCCCAATGATTATACAGGCTGTGCCGTTTCAGTCCCTCAGTTGTAGATTAAGGAAGAAGTGCGATACTGGCGTTCCAGCAAACTAAAATGTGTCGTGATACAAACACAAGGTGCTGTAAGAGAGGTTTCAGCATACCCTCAGCATACCTCCCATGGCTGACTCCCTTATTGACTGGAAAGCGTTCCAGTCAATAAGAGATCTGAGGCCTGTCCAAATCCAGATGCCAGAAATTTAGCTATTGAATCCATATTTAAGGTCCTACCCAAAAAGAACAGATTTTCAGAGGCACTGAGTACATGGTTTAGCTGAAACTGTGGGCGCTCTGGGGTTTCTGGTTGTGGATCTGAGAACCCAAAACTGAATGGACAGAAACTTGCTTAGTCAGGCCTGTGAATTCATGCCTATGTCCTGTAGTTATTAAAACAAGGGACTAGCAATGAGCGTTCCTGGGTTGAATTGTCAGTGCCTTCAGGAATTGATTGTGTGGCTGGGAGCAAGTCACCTAAACTCTTTATAACTGCTAAGAGTTTCTCCATCTCTAAGCTGGAGATGAGAGAACAGACTTTGTTGCAGTTTTACTAGGATCTGGGGATGCTATATTAAGTAAAATGGCCTCACAGTGCTTGGGAAGAAATAACACTGCTTTTATTTCTCATATACCCACTCGGAGATATGAAGCTGTACAGTTTGCCGTTTTGCAGGCTGGTCTGCGCACGCTTCATGACATCGGGCCAGAGATCCGAAGAGCAATCTCTGGAGACCTGACAGCTGAAGAAGAGCTAGATAAGGCCATGAAAGAAGCTGTTTCTGCTGCCTCTGAAGATGATATCTTCCGGGTAGGTGCTAAACGAGTTTACATGCTGAGGATGGGCCTGTAGCTTAGCTCAATGAGTGCAACATGCTGTTTTATACTCCCTGTACTTCAGCTGGCCTCTCTTCGTAGTTTTCTAGACTGTACTAGAAAACAGACTAGTAGACTGAGGGTGCTAGATCCTGAGGATCTTATGTGGGTTTTATCACATTTTCTTCTCAATGGAAGTTTCCCCTACATAAAACCTAAATAATATCAGAATGAGAATGGTCGGATATGGCCAAAGAATCTGAAAAATAGCTCAGATCAGCTTCAGCTTCCCAGCCACAGAACATGAGCAAGGCACACACCAGTGTTTTGTTCACAGTTCCTTTCAGTGGCCCAAGAAGTATCCTTTCAAAAACTACCGCTGCACCTAATAGAGCTCCTATGGTCCTGGAGGAAATTTCCTGAATAAGTTACCTAAAACATCTCTTTCTTACTTCATCCCTATTTCTTCTAATTGTCTCCTCTGGTAATATTTCCTGTCCTTCTTTGGCATTTCCCCCATTCAAATACTTACAGAAAGTCACTGTCTTTCATTATTGATCATCTAAACAGTACAGAAAATTTTTCCTCATGCGTTCTTCCAGGTGATTAATAATTTGTAGCGCTCTTCTCAAATTCCCTCTTGTGTAGACACTGTTTTGCAACTGCACTGTGAAGACTAGACAGCAGTAACCTGGTTCTAGCACCTCCACCCGCTTCTGCACTGCTAGGGCTGGTGGGTGGTGTAGAGACACCTTTGCCTCACATATGCACCTGTCCATTACTCTAAAGCCAGTTCTCTGAAATATCTCAGAAAGGTAAAGCTTTCACAGTCTATCTCTACCAGGCCTCTCTGGTAGAGAAGCCTATGCACTGTAACTTCTGGTAGAGAGAGTACCAGTGCCATAATGCAAAACTTGATCCTCACATTTTCTTTCTCCCTAAAACAGGCTCAGCAGCAAATACCAGGCCCCTTGCAAAACTTTTCATTTACAAAAGGAAAATTGTTTCTGTTTCCCTGACAGAGAGCCGGAGGCTTGTTTGGAAACCATGTCAGCTATTACCAAAGCGATGGCAGGAGTGCATTCCCCCAGACATTCACCACACAGCGACCTTTGCACATCAATAAGTCTGGCAACAACCAGGGAGATACTGAGTCTCCATCTCATGAGAAGCTAGTAGACTCCACTTTCACTCCCAGCAGCTACTCATCTTCAGGCTCCAATGCTAACATCAACAACGCCAACAACACTGCCTTGTGCCGCTTCCCCAGCCCACCCAGCTACCCCAGCACTGTCAGCACAGTAGAAGGCCATGGCACCCCCTTGTCACCCACAATACGTGTGCAGGAGGCTCCTTGGAAACTGCCTTCCAAAAGGTAAGCTTCACAGCAGAGAGTGAGCTGAGGGACCAGGGAGAGGAACATGCATGGCAGTGCCAGAGCGCTGTTGTTAGCTAGAAACAAGAGAAGACGCTGTCCTGCTTGCAGCCCGGATTGGGCCTTCTGATTCCCCACTTGTGCCAAATCCCATGGTGCAGCAGATATGCATTGGCTGACCACTGGGAAGAAGCAGCACATAACACCCTCACTGAGCAACACACTTGATTTCCTTAGGCTTTTCCATGCAGAATCCTTCATAAGAACCAAAGACAGCCGTCCTTCACCACAGGGAGGTGTTTTATCTACTGGCAATTAAAAGAAAAAGAAACTGCAATTCTTCTCTTGAGCACCCAACGGGGAGCTTTAAGGAAATCATTTTTTTTCCTCCAGTGGGTCACACCCATAATGAAGTCACCAAAGGCATTCTGGGAGGAAGGTTGCAAGGATTTCAGTAATGCAATATTACATAAAGCAAAGAAAATCCTCTTCTCTGAACAGCTTTCAGGCTGAAACACATAAGTCTACACACAGATGAGTAAAATGACAGGAGTAACATTTCCAGCACAGGGGTATTTTTTTAACCCTTCCAGTAACAGTGCGAGGGAGCTGGAAATTTGTTTTCAGTGCAGACAGTGGGCAATGTGAGAAGGTGAAGGAATGCTGCTGTAGCAAAAAGCAGAATATGATAATAAGATGGTGAGAAATCAGTGGGTACAAAATTACTTGAGTGAAGAATGCTGTGGCTTTTCCATTTCCTGCCTTCCATAGGGAGGCCAGAGGAGTTGCACAGCATATGTTACCATTTGTCATCTGTTTCTGACTTGTGCTGAAGTGATACTGCTAACATGGTGTTCTTTTCTCTCCTTGTTTCCTTGGGCATGTTCCTTGAACTAGGACGCATTACTATGAAACACTGGGACGGTATGTATTCTCTCATGCTGTGGTGCTCTTCAGGTGTAAGATCCGTTGTTCCTCCCATTGACAGTTCAAATCCCCATTAATGTTGAATGTAAATTCTTTCTGGTGTCATTCAGACTTAAAAAGATGTAATGTTCTCGATGACATCTCCAGAAAATATTCCTGTCTTGGGGCTCTTTTTACCCACAGGCAGATAGTGATGCATGGTCTCTTAGGTTTCTAGCTGGGCTCATATACGTAGGCCCAGTCAGATCACAGCACAAGAAAGGTTTCTTGGTGTGTTCATACAAACATTCTGTATAGTTTGGCTAAACATAGGCTGGTGAACAGGAGGAGCTGCCACTTATTGAGCTCTCACCTCTGCACCTCAGCAGTTTTAATCACCTCCCTTTTCAGCAGGAAGATTGCTGCAGCTTTCTCCTTCAGACTGTACCATGCATATACCCATTTCTCCCAACGCTTTTTGCCTGAATCAAATGAGAAAATATTTCCTGTCCTGTCCCTGAAAGATGCAAAAAACTGCCACACTGCTGTCTTCTGAGAGTGCTAGTAACAGACTGAAATTGGCTCCAGTACCTCCATGTTGGTATTTCTGAGTTTCAAGCTACCTTCGGTTCTCTTTCTACTCCTCACAAAACTCAAACTCAGAGTGGAGTGAACTACAAGATCCCAGAATGTGAAACAGAGGGACAAGGAGAAGACCGGTGGGGAATTAAGGGCTCTCATGCCTAAGAATTTGAATAGCTCCTACTGAATTCCATAGAAGCTCTCCACAGTTAGTAATGAGAAAAAAGGGACCAAAGATGGATAAAATAGCAGTCAACAGGAAGGAGGCAGGGGAGAGGTGGTGCAGAGTAAAGAACAGGGGAGACAGACACTATACTCCACAGAGCTGAGAGGGTAAAAAAATTGTTAGGCTAGGAGGCTTCTCTTTGAAATTGTTAACCAAGGCTTTCACAACGACAGAAGAAGATGCATCTCCAAAAGCCCACCTCAGATTTAACGTTGAGTTCAATGAGGCAGATCGTTGGAAATGTGGTCAGTGTGATGTGTATGTTCAAAGCGGGTACACATTGTCACACATGACAATAATATATTTGCGCTATTGCTCAGTTTTGATTTAAGAAACTCTTCCTCTGAAAGAGGACACAAAAAATGGTTGTTGCTTTTGTATTTGTGAACGCTGCAGCTCTGTTCAGTCATTGATTTTTCTATGATACCTCTGCACAATTATATTAAGCTGGGACAGATGGAGCCTGTCATTCTTGTCTCTGTAACAGGTTTTCTTTACCATTTCCATATCTTGTCTTTCTTGCTCATTAGCTCCAGTTCCAGAGACAGCCAGCTGGCAATTGTTTGCCAAGAGGAAGTGTCTCAGGATGAGACTTATGATGAAAATTTGAATGAAGACATTGAGTACTGTAGTGAACCAAGCCTGATCTCTACTGAAATGTAAGCTTTACAGCTTTAATCAAGGTGTTTGGGGGGGGTTCTTTAATTAAGACAGAGAAGTGGGAAGAGGTGACGTTTTTCTACAAAAATTTCAGTTTCTGGGATGAGACCAGAAGATTTTAGTCAGACAACTCAAATATCAGAGAATTAAAAAAAAAAAAATGTAGTTCAGCCCTGAGAAATAACGTTGAAACCATTTTTCTCCTAGAATTTTCCCTTCTCCTCTCAATGGGAGTATCTGGATTTTATATCTTCAGGTCCTCTCTCCCATTGATTTCTGCCACCTAACATTCCCAGACCTCATCTTTAGAGTGTTTCTCTGTCTCATAGTCTCTATGGCTGCTCCTGGATCAATTATAGGCAGGAGCTAGTTCAGCTAGTTGCATCTATTTGACAGTGTGTTCTTCCTGGCTTTCCTGCTGGTAGAGGGGTTATTGTCCCCCCTCTACCAGCTTTTCCAGCATCCCTCTGTTCTCCCTTCCAGGCTTTCATACCACGATGATGAAAATAGACAACTTACTCCACCGGAAAACAACAAAGGAGAGGACACCCGGCACTCCCCAAAGAAAGGATTTCTGTGCTCCTCCTCACTAGGTAACATCCTAGGGTGACATGCAGGCTCTGCTTTCCTCTGCCTTGAGTTCTCACATCTTGCTGGAGAAATTCTGTCATGGGTGGGGCCTGGCTGTTGGTGTGTGTTACACTTGGCTTATGAGACCAGGAATCCCACAGTGTGCATAAGATTTTGATCATGCATGTGCCTCGCCAGCAGACACCTCTCCCAACTTTATGCTCAGTCAGTAGATTAATCTGTGGCTGTTTGGACAGTCCATGGTTGTTTGGATAATCCATGTGATCTGTTTGATTAAGTCTGTATGTGAATTAGGAGGGTTTATCAGAGTGCTGTAGATTCTCCAAACAGACACCAGGGAGTCACTGGATGGACTAGCTTTCAGTGTACAGTATTCTGTGGTGTGTGCATTTAGCAGGGCGAAAGGAGAGGTGGGTTTTTTTGGCTGCTATGAGAAAAACTGAATTTCAGATTAAGGTAATACAATAAGAATTTGCTTTTTGCTGTGATTGTAATTGGATGTTTTCAAATGCTTGAGCGTGCAGACTATGTTCAAGTGAAATCTATGGATCATAAGCTATTATGAAGATATAAGGACAAATGTGAGAGTCTGGAAGGAAATTAGATCTTTTATGTAGAATATTTTTCAGCCTTTTTCCCTGAGTAGTGGTGTGGAAAAAAAATAGACTTTAGGGGGAAACTGAAAAGAATACTGTAAATAAAATACATTGTTACAAAATAAACAATGACAGACTATGTAATGCAATGTTTAAAGTGAGGCTGCTGTGTCTTCACGTAAAGCCTTCAAGACACTTGTACTACTGAGACTTTCAAAAGGACTTACTTTTTTTCAAAACTTAAAATAGCAGGCAACAAGAATTCCTGTATCTATCCCAAAGGCCAAATTTGCAGTCAGAGCTTGATACAACACTTCTTTAATTACATTCCAATGAATATTTATATCATGATGTCATGCTAATTTTCCTAGGCTTTTGTCAAGAAGGAGGAAATACTTTTTATCTGCATCATAGCATTAGTTCTATGTATCATATCATATGTTCCAGGCCCTGGGGGGACCTTTTGTCAACAAATCAATCATACAGATACCTACTCTTTTCAGAATTCTCATTTTCTTTCCTACTTTAGAAAAATGTCAATGGGACCAAGAAGTACACAAAATCTTTATTGTGCCATGCAGCTCTAACATTAGACTTATTTGCTACTATTCCAAAGTAAAGCCTGTGTACCTGTGTAGCCTGTGTACCATAATATGCCTTGCAGTACTTTTTAATTCCTATATAAGGAATACATTTCTCATATTTACAGAAAAAAAGTTTACTCTCATAGCAAGTAACCACTGTAGAAAATTCAACTGTTCCCTCAAAATCTTTTCTTTTATTTAAAAAAAAAAAAAACACTTTTCTCTTCCTTTCTTTCCAAATTTCTGGAAATGTTGCATGTCTACATACCCAAAAATCTATTCACCAGTGAATTCAACCGCTAATGTAAATAATTCACTTCCACTTGATCTGTCTATAGACACAGCCTTGTTAACTGTGGTACACATGGCAGTAGAGGAAACAGACCACATGAAAGCAGAAGGCCAGTGTCACCTGAGCAGCCCGATGCCTCCTCCTGTGCATGTGTACAGCCAGGCACAGAGCCAGAGCATCCATTGCCACTGTCAACCCCACGGAGGGTTTTACCTGAACCAGAGAGGTCTGGGAACACTTCCACTACTTAGTAGGGAATAAGCAGCATGGTATCTACTAGGACAGTTTTTTTTTAAAGAAAAATAAAATAAAACCATCATCCAGAACTTTATCTTACTTACTTGGAAGGTAGTGCTGGTTGATCCATGGTGCTAGACTGTGTTTTGCAAATACAACTGCTTTTGAAAGGGTGAGGTGTTGAGGGAAAGTGGACAGAACCTAAAGTGTGGATGTCTTTGCTGTCTCTCCAGTGGGACTGCGCTATGACAAGCTGAAATCAGATTATCTGTAGCGTGGTGTGAGTGATGGACAAAATTCTCTATGATTGTGTTTTTAGGTCGAAGAGCATCTTTTCACTTAGAGTGTCTGAAAAGACAGAAAAACCAGGGTGTAGACGTCTCACAGAAGACAGTTCTGCCTTTGCATCTGGTACATCATCAGGTAAGCATTAATAACCGCAAAGGGCCCAGCAATGCAACTGAGAATCTACCATCTGCAGTGCCTCCCTGCAGTGCATTACAGCCAACTTTTTAAAGACCTCTTGAGATTGTTTCTCACCCATATCAAAGGTTCATTTTTGGAA